CGTGCCTCTGGAGTCCCACGGACATCAAGGTGTAGAGTCCTCCAGAGTCTTGCAACTGTGCATAAACCTTGTATTCGGCCACCACTAACCAATTGCTCACAAGCAGAAACGGCTGCATTGGGCAGAAAAAATACATGAAGACTAATTTTCAAACAGTCCTGTTCACTGATGAGTGCCGTGCAACCCTGGATGGTTCAGATGGATGGAGTAGTGGATGGTTGGTGGACGGCCACCCTGTTCCAACAAGGCTGCGACGTCAGCAAGGCGGTGGTGGAGTCATGTTTTGGGCCGGTTTCATGGAAACAGAGCTGGTCGGCCCCTTTAGGGTCCCCAAAGGTGTAAAGATGACCTCTGCAAAGTATGTGGAGTTTATCACTAACCACTTTCTTCCCTGGTACAGAAGGAAGAACTATGCTTTCCATAATAAAATTATCTTCATGCATGACAATGCACCATCTCATGCTGCAAAGAATACCTCTGCATCAATGGCTGCTATGGGGATAAAAAGGAGAGAAAGTCATGGTGTAGCCTCCATCCTCCCCTGACCTCAATCCTACTGAGAACCTTTGGAGCATCCTCAAGCAAAAGATCTATGAGGGTGGGAGGCAGTTTACATCCAAACAGCAGCTCTGGGAGGCTATTCTGACATCTTGCAAACAAATTCGAGCAGAAACTGTCCAAAAACTCACAAGTTCAATGGATGCAAGACTTGTGAAGCTGCTATCAAATAAGGGGTCCTATGTTACAATGTAACGTGACCTGTTAAAATGTTTAAAAAGTTAAAATGTTAAAAGTTTGATTGAAATAGCTTTTGATTTCAGTAAATATGCTGCAAACACAACAAATGACAATTTTCAGTTCTTTACAAGCTATGTTTTGAAACTTACTGTGCGTAATAATTTGGAACAGTGCATTGTAAGTTTTTTATGTTTAAAAAAAATCCTGTTATCATTAGGAGGTTTGTTCAATAAAATTTGAATTGTACTCTTAATAGTTGATAACATGAGAATTATGCTGACTGTTATTTACATCATTTAGGTAAATGAGAAAAATATCATTTGCATAATAATTTGGAACAGGGTGTAGGAGAGAAAATCTTTTTGGCGGGACAAAAATCCTATCTGGTGATCCCAATCAATATACATAACTTGTTCCAAGAGAAGATGCACTGGAAAAGCCTGAATACTCTGCTGATGCCTTAAAGAACCCATGGAAGAGTATGTTACCTCAGAGGACTCAGAGGGAGGGGGGGGGGGGGGGGTAAGTGTAATCCTGAACAGACCATATCAGCAAGGTCCTGAACTAATAACCTTTGAGACTGAGAAGCTGAAACTACCTGCTTCTCCTTAGGCTGAGACCCTTCAGATAATCTATTGCCTGACCCTCTTCCAGGTCCTGTAATGCCCCCTCATCCTCTGGTTCCATCGACGCCTGTTTAAGGACTGGTGGATCCAGTGAATGGGATCTCTCCTGCTTCTTATCCACCTGAGAAACAGATGCAATCATTCCTGCGATCTTATCTTCTAAACCTAAGGCTGAAGAAGATCCTCCTTTGTCACATATGCTGAAGCAGACACACCGGTAGTTGCCACAATGCCAGACAAATGTAGTGGCTCAAATTGCCCAGAGGCTCCTAACCTTACAGGAGAGGTCAACACAGTGGAACTTCAACTAGATTCTTCTAGACCTGACGGTGGTGCACATGTGAGCTGATGGTGGTGAACATGTGCACTTTCCTGCTGTGCCTCCCCCACCCCCGCTTTTTGGAAGACATCCCTTCCTACAGTGCTCAATCTGAATTAAATACAGATAGAAAAAAAAATACAGATTCCAGAATACAGTTATGCAAGGTAGTGTGACCAAATACACTCACTGTAACTGCTAATTCCTATGGATCATCAGAAGAGTACAGCCTCCCGTCTCTGAACTGGCCAATGTTATCCACCCCCATGGGAGTACTGACATGCCCACTGAATAGCCTGCTCTGTGTCCCGGCCACCTCTAGCTGCAGCAGCCCCACATGTGCCCAGGAATGCCAGATACATAAATAAACAGTCGACTTCCTCTTCCGGCCGTTCCTGTGCATGTGCACGCACCCCCCCTGAACATGCGCGCCCCATTGCCGCAGCTGTCTGTCTCTCCATCAGGCTGCTCCCCCTAGAGGCACCAAAAAGAAAGACCAGACAGGCGTTAAGACAATGAAACACTCCCCCTAGTGACAACCTTCGCCAACAACAAAGGAAAAACCACTACCTTTGTTTTCCATCCAATTTTCTTTCGTAACAAAGAGAAAAAGAGGAGGCATCTTACCATTCCCACCACAGGACTCAGCATTACGCCAAGAGTCCAACCTTCACCCATCATGTTGGGCCCTGTCACATAGACCTTCAAGGACTTGGTCCCCATACTGTAGGGCCACTGCCTCGGACCTGTAGGGCACCCTGCTCAAAACCACCTTGGTCAGATTCAATACTGCACAGGGTTCCATTTACACAGGGTCCAGCGCCATACGGCTGCATTACAGGCAAAACCCTGAGGATTCTTCTCTTTATCCAGCGAGGTTCAGGTACAATCCATTTTGGCTAAAAGCTTTATGAATCGATCTAATTAAAGTCCATGATTCTCAGAGGAACTGTCTTAGACCACAATTATGCTCCAGGAGCACAAGCAACACCTTCAGTGACCATCCACCTTACAGATATTGGCGAAAAAAACAGATACTTCCTGTATAAGAGGGGTTATATAGGGGAGGACACCTCTCTGATTGGTTGGGCAGTGTCCATTCACCTCTAGGTGGCATATAACCCACATAGTCATGAATAGCCTGCTCTGTGTCCCGTGATGTAGGATAAAGAAAAAAGTCATATCTGCACAGACAATGTCCTGCCAAATACAACAAGATACGGGATAGTTAGAACAACCCTCCACATGTAATGCAGATCAATCTGAAGACTCATAATTGGTAATTTTTTCTGATTATCCTCATATATTGCTTCACGACATGCTATGTAAACTATAATTTCCTTTTACTAAGAATATGCTATTGTATGGCGTTACTTTTATTGCTCTTCTGTATTCCATGCATGTTTACCTTCTTCAATAAAGAGCTCTTTTGATAAAAAAAAAATAATAATAATAATCCGACATGCTGGTTGTGCCCAAGTTGTACAACAATGAACTTGGGTACAATAAGCTTGCCCATAGGTGGTTCAAATCTTGGCTGGTCCTTGCTGAACCAGTTGAGATTCAAAGCATCTATGGCCAGCTTAGCAACTTTTGTAAAGTCAGTAGTGCCCCAACATCTTCAGATAGAGATTTCGTCAGTGAATGAAAGTAGTAAGGGTAGGAGAAGGCCTACCACAAAAGGTAGGGTTAGTAAAGTAAACCTGTACTGTCTTATGAAAAAGAGTCTTTCGTTCAAGATTGTTTTGTGACAGGTTCTTTTAATAAGATATAAAGGGTCTAAAAGCCAATTGATGCCTCCCGTGTTCCACTGAATGTAATGCAGTGCAGACCACACTGCATTACATTCTTTCCTGTCCATGCTGGTGAGGGAAACTGTCAATGTGGTGATCCGGAAGTGACGTCATATACGTTCACTTCCGGGTCAGGACGTGCTCATTCCTCAGTACCCTCTACCCTGCAGCACCTGCTATATAATCCAGTGCCCGCAGATGGGCAAGCAAAGCCCGTGATACATAGTGGGTGGCAAGCGCAGGGGAAGGGGATAGGAAGGGTACAGCTGAACATCTTCTTTAACAACTTGCCAACCAGTCACCAGTATTCAAGTGGTTGTACCCAGTACCGTTACTTAGTGCAGATGGTCGGCTTTTACATAATAATTGCAGCGTCCCCTCTCCCTGCCACTTTAATGGGATCTCCCATCCCACCGGGAGCCCTAATCGACTAGCTAGTGTCACCAGATTAGCTTTGTTTGGTTCCGTTAAATAAGCAATGACCTGACATCACTTTTGGTTTACTCAGAAATACACAGTGCTATTTAAAAAAAAAAAAAAAAAAAAAAAAAAAAAAAGCACTCCATCACACCACTTTTGGTATAAATGAATGCTTTTAAGGGCAGTGGAGGGATCTGGGGATTTTACTGACCCCCAGATCCCCTCATAAAGAGGACGTGTCACAGTCCTATTGCTGTCACGAGGGATGTTTATTTTTTGTGACAGCAATAAAAGTGATCAAATTATTATTATTTTTTTTAAAGTGACAATGTAAAAAAAAAAAAAAAAAAATTTAAACTGACCCTGTCCCCTGTGCTTGTGTGCATAGGAGAACACATGTGTTGGTCCAACACACATGCAAACAGCAATTGTCTACAAGTGAGGTATCACTACGAATGTCAGATCATGGGCAGTAATTCTAGCATCAGACCTCCACTATAAATCCTCTTCTATAAAAATGAAGTGATAACCTGTAAAGGCGTTTCAAGTGTTGCCTAAGGATAGTAAAATTTACGTTGTCCCCGTTGCACAGGCGTGCATAATTTTAAAGCGTGACATGTTTGGTAACTATGTACTCAGCGCAGCATCATCTTTTATATTTTACAAAAAAAATAAGTTATGCATGGTGTTTTTTGCATTAAAATTTTAAGTATTTTTCTCTTAAAAAAATTTGCATTTAAAAAAAAACGCCGCGCAAATACTGCAGGACACAAAAAATTTGCAAAACTATTTTCTAAGGCCTCTGCTTTAAAAAAAATTCTAATGCATGGGGGTTCAAAGTAATTTTCTAGCAAAAAAAAAAAATTGTTAAGCGTTAACAAAAAGTGTCAGAAAAAGTCTGGTCCTTAAATGGTTGAAAAAAAAAAAAAACCCTACAAAAAAACCTTGCTACACATAGAGGACCACAGGAAGGGTGGAGCAGAGGGATGAAGAGTGTGAAGATCCGCTTTAATTCTATAAGCGTTCCTTCTACTCTTCAGTACTAGTTTTAAACAAATTCAAGTACACTGTATTTGCTTGTGCAAAACATTTATTCCATCTTACCTTGGTCAGTTTTGGTTGCGGGTTTCCAGTTTTCGGCGCTGATCACCGGCAGACATACCTGGCCCTTCTCATCAATATTCGGGTGGTAGATTTTTGGTTTTGAATGTGATCTTGGGTGGTTTAAATGGGTACTCTGCTGGGAAGTTAATTTCAATCCTAAATGCACCTTTGTCATATGGAGGATTGTCCTAGAGCAAGGGAGGAAAAGTTTAGAAGACCTTTTTTAAAAAGACGTCTTCCTAAAAGGTAATATGAATGTCATGTGATAACTTACAAAACTAAGCTAGGACTGGACAAGCTGCAGTTACAAGCTCTTACAGAGCTAAGTCTTATCTGATCACCATGAGCAAGATTACGGTATATCTCATATCAGACAAATGTACTGTTACATGCTTTACTGACAACATTGAAATCCACAATTAAGAAACACCAATATTTCAGTGTGCTTTTAGAACTTTGAAGAATGTATGGAAAGGTCTAGAAAAGATTCCAGAAGTCTTAGAACAAAAGAGTTTTATTGCAAAGAAGCTCTAAGGTTTATGGTAATCCTATGAAAGGGAGGGTAGGTCTTTAATATGCAGAGATGGGAATACAGTAGGTCCTGCTGTCAGAGAGACAAAAGCTGGTTATACTAAAGAAAGGAGGCCCAGGTTGATAGTGCTGGAGGAGTTGGTTGCAATGAAAAGAGAGGGGATGAATCTGAATGCTAGGAGGGAGATAGACTGGATTTTGCTTGGTTTCTTGGCAGAAAAGCAGAGGCTAGATATTCTGGGGTAAAGAATTCCAGGCTGATACTGAAGAGTGGGGACAAAGGTTAGCTGAGCTCGGGGAAAAAGTTCAGGATAGTGAGCTGGAGAATGAGAAATGCCAACTGCTCAGCTGGGAAATTTATGAGGCTCCATATTAAGGGGTAAATAACTTTAGGAAGCTGTCGGATAGGAGCTTAGTTAGTGGTACTGGAAAGTCAGGGAAGTGAAGCTTAGTGGTAGCTAAGAGCTCAGGCTAGCTCCACTTATGTTAAAGCTGTACTCCAGCCTTGTCTTTCACAGTTATATAGTCTACTTTCATGTACTGAAATTAATCACTGAAATTTCACTGTACATTGAGCTTTTCGCAGTGTGCATTGAAAGATGTAGGAAACAGATACAGCCTGCTTCATTTTCTGGCTGGGTAACATCAAGCATAATCCAATCTTTTTTTCCCAAACCTTAAGGCTGGTACACACGGGCCAAATATCAGCTGGTTCAAAAGAAATTGGCCAGTGCGTGTACAGCAGCCTGGGAGCAGACTACTATTAATGCAGTTCTTTTACCTGGGCTGGCTCTTACTTGGGGCAGTGGTGGTTCCCTGGTATGCTCCAGTGCTCTGATGCTTGGGAGGAAGTGTTTCTATCTGTGTGTACTTGGTGTGACTACTTGGAGGTGTTTCTGTGTGTACTTGGTGTGACAACTTGGAGGTGTCAGGCAGCATCCAGTGTATTTTAATGTATTGTGATCCTCTTGTACTGTTTCTGAAGGAGCAGCGTTGTCAGCTGTGAACAGCATCAAGCTGAGCAGTCCATGAACTGGTGTGGTCAGAATTTTAAATATCAGGAACTGTATATATGCCCAATGCTGCACAAATACACTGCTCAAAAAAAATGAAAGGAACACTTTGAAAAAACACATCAGATCTCAATCGGGAAAAATATCACGTTGGATATCTATACTAATATGGACTGGGTAATGTGTTAGGAACGTAAGGTTGCCCCATTATTTGATGGAAATGAAAATGATCAACCTACAGAGGACTGAATTCAAAGATACCCCAAAAATCAAAGTGAAAAAATGCAGCAGGCTAGTCCATTTTGCTGACATTTCATTGCAGCATCTCAAAATTGTACTCAGTAGTTTGTATGGCCCCCACGTGCTGGTATGCATGCCTGACAACACCAGGGCATGCTCCTGATGAAACGACGAATAGTGTCCTGAATATTTCCTCCCAGATCTGGACCAGGGCATCACTGAGCTAATGGACAGTGTGAGGTGCAACCTGGCTAAGTCAGATGGACAAAAACATGATATCCCAGAGGTGTTCTATTGGATTTAGGTCAGGCGAGTGTGGGGCCATTCAATGGTATCAATTCCTTCATCCTCCAGGAACTGCCTGCATACTCTTGCCACGAGGCCGGGCATCCTCGTGCACAAAGAGGAACCCAGGACCCACTGCACCAGCGTAGGGTCGGACAATGGGTTCAAGGATTTCATCCCGATACCTAATGATAGTCAGGGTGCCATTGTCTAGCCTGTAGACTTCTGTTTGTCCCTCCATGGATATGCCTCCCCAGACCATCACTGACCCACCTCCAAAAAGGTTATGCTGAACAATGTTACAGGCAGCATAACGCTCTCCACAGCTTCTCCAGACCTTTTCACATATGTCACATGTGCTCAGGATGAACCTGCTCTTTGAAACTCACAGGGCGCCAGTGGCGGACTTGCCAATTCTGGTGTTCAATGGCAAATGCCAATCGAGTTTTATGGTGCTGGGCAGTGAGCATAGAGCCCACTAGAGGACGTTGGGCTCTCAGGCAACCCTCATGAAGTCAGTTTTCGATTGTTTGGTCAGAGACATTCACACCAGTGGCCCGCTGGAGGTCATTTTGTAGGGCTCTGGCAGTGCTCATCCTGTTCCTCCTTGTACAAAGGAGCAAATACTGGTCCTGCTGATGGGCTAAGGACCTTCTATGGCCCTGTCCAGCTCTCCTAGAGTAACTGCCTGTCTCCTGAAATCTCCTCCATGCTCTTGAGATTGTGCTGGGAGAAACAGCAAACCTTCTGGCAATGGCATGAATTGATGTGCCATCCTGGAGGAGTTGGACTGCCTATGCAACCTCTGTACGGTCAAGGTATTGCCTCATGCTACCAGTAGTGACACTGACCCTAACCAAATGTGAAACTAGTAAAAAACAGTCAGAAAAGATGAGTAGGGAAAAAAATGTCAGTGGTCTCCACCTGTAAAACCATTCCTGTTTTGGGGGGTCGTCTCATTGTCGCCCATCTAGTGCGTCTGTTAATTTCATTAACACCAAAGCAGCTGAAACTGATTAACAACCCCCTCTGCTACTTAACTGACCAGATCAATATCCCAGGAGTTTAATTGACTTGATGCTATACTCTGATTAAAAAGTGTTCCTTAATTTTTTGAGCAGTGTATAAGTTCTACATAATTTTCATGGCTTAAAAGGACAGAAGAATTAAATGTATATACACTACTGGACCACCGTTGGGTTTTATAGGATTTTAATGTGATGTTAGTTTCAAATGTTGTGTCTCAACATCACACACACGACGTCAACTCACTGGAACGATGAGACCCTGCCAGGTCAGAAGGTTGGCTTCATCAACCTGGATATTACAAAAGTTATGCGATGAAGATCTGCGGATCTCTTCAAGCTCCTGAAAAAAAAAAAAAAAAGAAAAGAAATTTTGAGTTTGAATGCAGCTAAGACTGTTGAAGTGTTACTAAACCCAGGACCTTGCATTCACTATATCTGGTCTCCCATAGTATACAAACCATGGAAATGCAATTATTTTAGTAAATATAAACTGCTAAATACCTTTTCTCATCAGCATATAGCAATCTTGTGACTTCTATCAGTGTCCAGCTGAGCACTGGTTAATTATTTAGGAGTTTTCATTCTCCTCCAACTGTCCTATGAGGCTGCATAACCCTTGAACCTTTGTCTGGACAGTGCTGATTGGCCCTGCGCTGATCACATGCATCCTCCCAAAGAAAAAAAAAAGAACCTCTCTAGCAATACACACTAAACTGAGCAAGTGCAGAATGACTCCTAGAGCTCTGTACTATCAGCAGATGGATTGGGGACAATGGAAGAAAGGGAGGATCAGAGAAAACAGGATCAAACAGCCTTTTTACACAATGCGGAGGATTAACCCCTTAGGTTCCACAATTAATATAACAAGCATGCTTTACTGTATATACAGACTGATTTTACGGTTGTGGGTTTAGTAACACTTTAATGACCCATCAAAAAATTGGCAATGAAAGAAATGGGTCTTAAAGCAAAAGGAAACCATGGTGGATTAAAAGATTGCCATGAGAAATATCAAAGGGAACACTTAAAATTGGGTATAAAAACAGTTTTGTTTTCGGCCTGAGATGCCAAATTGTTCAACCATTTGTATAAATGAACAAAAAATCATATGACAGGCAAACCTTTTTTTTTACATTTGGGACAGATTGGGGAAATGTTTAGACCCTCTATCAATTGTTACTGAGAGAGAAAGTGAGAGGAAATGTAAAGTTTCCATCTGCTCATTAAAACGGAGTTCCAGTGAAAATAAAAACAAATAAAAGTCAGCAGCTACAAAAACTGTAGCTGCTGACTTTTAAAAAATTGACAATTATCTATCCTTCAATCCTGCGTTGCCATCTCCCCCCCCACCCCTCTGTTCCTGGCACCAGCATCTTCAGTGTGGGCACCTGGCTGGCCAGCTTGCAGCTTCAAAGCCGGGTTCTCACTGCACATTCGCGAGTAGCGTTGCGCTTTGTGAATGGCCTAGGCGATCGCAGCGGAAGCAGGTACCTGTCAATTTCAGGTACCCACTCCCAAAAGATGCTAATCCTTAACGGTGAGCAGGGGACCAGTCCTTAAAGTGGAATTTCCCCTTTGGGTGGAGCTCCAATTTAAGACACTCCATAAAGCTGATTTCCAGATTTCCTGTCATTTTAAATAGATCGTTTGGACCAAGCTGGAGCAAACAAACTATTTCCTTCACTAACTGCAGTATTGGCTCTAAGTGCTGTTTGAACTGTATGTAACTTCAGCTACAGACAGTACACAGTGCTGGGTTCCAGCTGTGAGACAGAAACTTCCCATCTTACATCCGGAACAATACAGAGTCTGGCTGAGCGATGCTCAGCAATACAAAGACAGCTTTGTATTTCGTTAATGAACGCAAAGCTTCCTCTGATTGGCTGAGGTAAAGAGGAGGGCTGATGACGTCCTGATCTCCTGAGTGCCAATCAGCCAGACTCTGTTTTGTTCGGGGTATGAGAAGTGTATCTCACAGCTGGAACCCACCACTGTGTACTGTGTGTAGCTGAAGCTACATACAGTTCATACAGCATGTAGAGTGAATGCAGCAGTCAGTGAAAAAATGGTTAGTTTAGACCAGCTTGGTCCAAAAAACTATTTAACCACTTCAATACCGGGCACTTTTACCCCCTTTCCTGCCCAGGCAAATTTTCAGGTTTCAGTGCTCTCACACTTTGAATAACAATTGCATGGTCATGCTCTTTATTCTCTTTCGGAGAGACAGAGTAAGTAGGAAAGGTGGTGGTGTATGTCTCTATGTGACGCGATCTCAGAGTGAGTGTGAAAGAGGACCTAGTTGATGTAGAGTGTGATGAGGCTGAAGTATTATGGGTGGAACTGGAACTGCACATGGGGGTGCGTACTACAAAGGTAATCATTGGAGTTTGCTATAAGCCTCCCAGTGTTAATGAGGAGGTGGAAACTCAGCTCCTTGCACAGATCGAAAGGGCTGCAAGGGCTGGGACAGTTATAATAATGGAGGGTTTTAACTACCCGGAAATTGACTTGAGTAATGGTACTGCAGGAGCAGTTAAAGTGCAAAAATTTTTAAACCTACTATAGGACAATTTTATGGTACAGTTCATAGAGGCCCCTACTAGGAATGATGAATGATGCTCTGCTGGACCTGGTAATCTCAAACCATGCAGAGCTTATTACGAATGTCCATATAAAAAAACATCTGGGTAGCAGTGACCATAACATGATTTCATTTATTGTTAGCTGTAAACAGCAAGCACATACGGGAAAAAAAAAAAATTTTGCTCTAATTTTCCAAGGCTAAGAGCTGCTCTCCAAGACTTAGACTGGGAGGGAATATTGACATTGATGAACACAACACAGAAATGGGAGTTCTTCAAAAAGACTGTATGTGAACACACTGCAAAATATATTCCCATGGGCAACAAGTATAAAAGGCTAAAAATCAAACCTATATAGCTTATGGTCAAAGTTAAAAAGGCTATAGATAATAAGAAAAGAGCTTTTAATCAATATAAAAATGAAGGAACACTATCATCATTTAAACATCACAAAGAACAGAATATGCAAAAAGGAAATAAAGGCCGCAAAAATTGAAAACGAATGACAGAATGCAAAAGATAGCAGGACCAACCCCAAAAAATTCTTCAAATATATTAATAGTAAAAAGGTTTGGTCCGAGCATGTAGGCCCTTTACAAAATAATCTAGAATGGGTGACTGGGGACAAAGAGAAGGCAAATTTATTATATACCTTCTTCAGCTCTGTGTATACAAAGGAGCATGAGGGAGCTCTTGTCATAATGGGCATGGTATTGACACAGTCCAGATGATCCACATTGGCTCACAATTGATATGATCCAAAAATATTTAGACAGAATAAAGGCGAATAAAGCACCTGGACCGGATGGCATACACCCACGGGTCCTTAAAGAATTGAGCTTTGTCATTTCAAAGCAATTGTTTCAAATTTTTAGGGACTCTTTAATGACTGGCATAATACCACTGGATTGGCGTAAGGCCAATGTGGTGCCAATATTTAAAAAGGGGTCAAAATCTTTACCAAGTAATTACAGACCTGTTAGTTTAACTTCTACAGTTGGGAAGATACTGGAGAGATTAATAAAAGACCACATAGATGAGTTCTTGCTGGAAAAAAAAATATTTTAAGCAACAGACAGCATGGATTCATGAAAGACAGAAGTTGTCAAACAAATCTGATTTCTTTTTATGAGGGGGTGATCAAAACCTTGGACAGAGGGGTGGCGGTGTACGTGGTTTACTTGGATTTTGCAAAAGCGTTTGACACAGTTTCCCCACACACGGCTAATTTGTAAGGTAAAGTCTACGGGCTTGGAAAAAGTAAGTAAATGGTTAGAAAACAGGCTAAAAGATCGTATTCAGAGAGTAGTGGTTAATGATTCATATTCTGAATGGTCTGGGGTCATCAGTGGTGTACCCCAAGGTTCAGTGTTGGGACCCTTACTTTTTAATATATTTATAAACGATATAGGGTCTGGGATTAAAAATATTTCAGTCTTTGCAGATGACACCAAGCTGTGCAGTGGAATAACGTCCTTACAGGAAGTCTCCAACTTACAAGCCGACCTCAATGCACTGTTTAATTGGGCAACTATGTGGCAAATGGGGTTTAATGTTGATAAATGTAAGGTTATGCACTTGGGGGCTAAGAATATGCATGCTTCATACATACTAGGGGGGGTACAACTGGGGGAATCAATGGTGGAGAAGGATCTGGGAGTTCTGGTAGATCACAAGCTTAATAATTGGCATGCAATGCCAAGCTGCGGCGTCTAAAGCGAGCAAAATCCTCTCTTGTATTAAGAGGTATAGACTCCAGAGAGAGATATCATATTACCCCTGTACAAATCATTAGTAACACCTCATCTGGAATATGCAGTTCAATTTTGGGCACCAATTCACAAAAAGAACATTGGGGAACTGGAGAAAGTACAGAGAAGGGCAACCAAACTGATAAGAGGCATGGAGGCGCTCAAGTATGAGGAAAGATTAGAGGAACTGAATTTATTCTCTCTTGAGAACAGGAGATTAAGGGGGGATATGATCAACATGTATAAATACATCAGTGGTTCATATAGTGAACACGGTGTAGAGCTATTCACCCTGAGGTTATCACAGAGGACAAGGGGGCACTCTTTACGTCTGGAGGAAAAGAAATGTAATCTCCAAACACGGAAAGGTTTCTTCACAGTGAGAGCTGTGGAACAGACTCCCTCAAGAGTTGGCTCTGGCCAGCTCAGTGGATTGCTTCAAAAAAGTGCTGGTTTCTTTCTTAGATACACAGAATATAACTGGATACTAACATTTATAGGTATTTTTTGCCTTCCTCTGGATCTGTGGGTATAGGATTATAACTTTTTTTTTTTCTATGGTTGAACTGGATGGACTTTTGTCTTTTTTCAGCCAGAATATGTAACACTGTACCCAAACTAAATTTTGATCATTTTGTTCACACAACTAGAGCTTTCGTTTTGTGGTATTTAATCACCACTTGGGGTTTTTATTTTTTGCTAAAATACCGTATTTTTCGCTCCATAAGACGCACCGACCTAAGACGCGCCTAGGTTTAAGGGGAGAAAAACAAGGAAAAAAATATGCTGAACCAATGGACTGCAGACACAGTACAGGGGACGACCAAGAGGCCGCGGACAGCGCAGGGGACGACCAAGAGGCTGCGGACAGCGCAGGGGACGACCAAGAGGCCGCGGACAGCGCAGGGGACGACCAAGAGGCCGCGGACAGCGCAGGGGACGACCAAGAGGCCGCGGACAGCGCAGGGGACGACCAAGAGGCCGCGGACAGCGCAGGGGACGACCAAGA